GGGGCGGGCGGCGCTGGCAGCGGGGCCGGGGCGGCCATGAGGACCGAGATCTCCACGGCGGCCGCGTTCGTGACCCGCCTCCTGCGAGCCGGCGGCGGGGTCGGCGAGGAGCAGCTGCGGTGCTTCCGCGAGCGGCTGCAGGAGGCGATGCGCGGTGAGCGGCGGGGGGACATCCCCTCCATCCCCCCCCCCTCCCCCCCCCCCTCCCCCCCCATGCCCCCCCCCCACCCCCTCCCCTCTTGGCCCGGGGGTCCGGCGGAGCGCACCGCGGTAAAGCTCCTCTTTGTTCCCTCTCGCAGAGCACTACAAACACCACTGGTTCCCCCTGATGCCTTCCAAGGGCTCCGGGTACCGCTGCATCAGGATCAACCATAAGATGGACCCCTTGATAGGAAAAGCGGCGGGGATGATCGGACTGAGCCACGAGAGGCTCTTCCAGCTCTTACCCAGCGAATTAACTCTGTGGGTCGACCCCTTCGAAGTGTCCTACCGCATAGGTGAGGATGGGTCTATCTGTGTGCTGTACGAGAGCCCTCAGCCTGGGGGGAAGGCGGCCAAACAGCTGGAGAGCAGGACCAGTTGCAAGGAGGAGTGGAGAACTGGCAGATCCAGCCCTTCCAAGAGTTACAGCATGATGACGGTTTCTAGTTAAAAGCAACTCTTCCTTGTACAATGATGTATGTATCCCAGTCTCATGGTAAAGTTAGATGTAACTGAGCTTTTTGGGTTTTTTTATTTTTTTTTTTTTCACCCTATAGTCATTAATAAGTCGTGGTAGTACTGCCAAGTTCTTTGTGGGCAAGGGCTAATGTATACAGCAGTTTTTACACTGCATGTTACTTTCTGGATTGTGTCCTGTAAATGCACTGTACAGTCGGTGGATCGTTTTACACATTTATATTTTCAAAGAAGTTCTGGCTATTTGTAATAAAAAGCAGTATTGTAGCACTCTTTATGATGGATTTTAGTCAAGATTAGCACTTACTGAAAAAAACCCCCACATTCTGCAATTTGCAGAGCAATAACATGAAGGGAGGTGGGAAACAGATCTAACAAGCTGCACATAAATCTTGTGATTTGTCTGCACAGGCTTCTCTCAGGGTCATTCAAGTTTGGCTGCGAGGCACAAATCACAAAAGTAACTCTTATTTTTCCTTTTTCAAAGCATGCATTTATTTGAGGGATGGATTCCATCATACTCTGACGTTTAGCAAAAAGAATTGGGGAATTAGTCTGTCTTGTTATTTGTAGTTATTTCAGTAGAAGAATAAAGACTTGCTCAAACTGCTTGTTTTGGTTTTGGTTTTTCACACCCCCCCCCCCTCAGGCTTTTAGCGTTGCTCTCAAGCTCATTCTAGCCATTTTTAATCATTGCAGAAAGCTTTGTAGGTAGAAGGGTGTAGCTCTGAACATTCATCTTTATCTCAGATCACAACAAAACAGTTTTGGTAAAGCTTGCTGGCTGCGTGTCTTGAGCTGAATAATCTCTGTAGAGATGGGTGGGTGTTTTGATACTGTATCAAACTGAATGGAAACAAAAGTACTCTTCTGATATTTGATCTACAGCAAAAGATGCTTGAGTTTATTGGGAAATGGAGTTTGTGTTTAAAACTGCAACTTGATGCTATGTAGGAAGCTTGAATGAAAGTTTGAGTGATCAATCACAGAATCAACTGGGCTGGAAAAGATCTCTGAGATCATCAAGTCCAACCTCTGAGCCAACACCACCTTGTCACCCAGACCAGGGCACTGAGTCCCACATCCAATCTCTTCTTAAACACCTCCAGGGATGGTACCTCCACCACCTCCCTGGGCAGCCCATTCCAGTGTCTGATCACTCTCTCTGTAGAACTTCTTCCTGATGTCCAACCTAAACCTTCCCTGGCGCAGCTTAAGGCCATGCCCTCTTGTCCTACTGCTGGTAGCCTGGAAGAAGAGACCAACCCCCACCTGGCTACAACCTCCTGTCAAGGAGTTGTAGAGAGTAAGGAGGTCTCCCCTGAGCCTCCTCTTCTCCAGGCTGAACAACCCCAGCTGCTTCTCACAGGACTTGTGCTCCAGTCCCTTCCCCAGCCTCATGTCTCTTCTCTGGACCTGCTCCAGCCCCTCCATGTCCTTCCAGAACTGAGGGCCCAGAGCTGGACACAGCACTCCAGGGGTGGCCTCACCAGCACTGAGTCCAGGGGAAGAATCACTTCCCTGGACCTGCTGGCCACACTGTTCCTGATCCAGGCCAGGATCCATTGGCCTTCTTGGCCACCTGGGCACACTCTGGCTCATGTCCAGCTTCCTGTCTGTCAGAACCCCCAGGTCCCTTTCTGCCTGGCTGCTCTCCAGCCACTGCAATGCTCTCCATGAGCACACTCCTGGAAAAGCTGGCAGCCCACGGCTTGGACAGGTGCACTCAGTTGGCAGCTGGTCACTAGTGGTGTCCCCCGGGGATCAGTGTAATAAAAATATCAGTGTGAGAAAAAATAAGTAAAATCGTTTGAGTGAGGCAGGAACACTTTGTTTTTCTGATAATTCAGTAGAATGTAGGAAAAACAGATCGTTTTAATTTAGTTGATATTTACATTAATAAGATTTGATCCGTGGTGAAATGTGGCAGAAGTACAGACAGCCCATTCAAACATGTATTTTGTAACTTGAAGCCTCATGAGTATCCCCTGCCCATGCTTGGCCTCTGAGTGTGGGGAGTTTACCCTGAACCAGTGGCCATTGCATTATTTAATCTGAAATACAGAATTTAGAGAACAGAGAGATCTTGTAGTTTATGTTAACAAGTAAAAAGTGAGGATTTGGTTGGTTTGGTTGGCATGTCCTGAAGGCATTATGACAATCCAGTCCTGAACATTTTACTCTATGGGGTCAATAAATTTACTTGCATTCTATGCAGGGAGCATAGATGTCTTCAGCTCCCACTGGATTTTTTGCCTCCATAAAGACTATGAGAACATTTTGAAGTGCTCTGTATCAGCATTTGGTGACACATTCTATCCCTAAGTAAAGACCCCAGCGTGGACTTGGCTCTTGCAGAAGTCTGTGAAATGTGGACATCCTGCTGGAACACCTTAGTCTTGATTTCAGCTGCTCTTGGGTGATTAATGCTCAGAGGTGTTGAACCAATCCAGCCACTGTTACTCTAATTTGAAGTGTTTTTTCATCTCAACACAAGGGAAGCTCCTTGTGGTGGACAATTATTACATGTAATTTTTCATTTAGAATAAGATCTTTTTGTTTTGTTCACTGGTTTCAATTCACAGTTTCATTACCTTCCATTGAAAGGTTCTGCCAAAAATCTGCCTAAGCCTTGTTAGCAATATTCCTTTTGTTATCATTAACATCTTAAAAAAACGCATTTTTTAGAGACTGGAATAAACAACATTGAAAGCAACATGGCATCTGCTTGAGGACCTTGAAATAACTGCTTCTGCCAGGTAATGAAGTAGATTAAAGGCTTCTGTGTCCAGTTTTGAAAGTCTGCAAGGGGTGTAACCCTTTGCTGGGGGTAAGGCTTGCACAGTTACCTTGACAGTAACATTTGGTTGCTGCTTTTAGCAGTGGGTTGAGGTGAAGTAGGCACAGCAGGTTGTTCAAATGCTCTTTTCTTGCCTGTTGTCTGTCTGTGTAAGAGCCTGGATTAATCCAGCCATGAAGAATTCTGGTGCTTTTATTAATCCTACCCTAAGCAATAGGATGTTTCATGTTATATAATTCTTGAGTATCCTACACTCTCTGCAAGTTTGATGTTTATCATTGAAGGGACACTTTGTTGGTGTGAGGAGAGTTTAATTTCATATATTTAAGCTGCTGGCGTAGAGTTGAAGTCCCTCTGCAGACAAGCAGGTGGGGGACGCTGGGGATTTGAAGAAAACCCACTAAAGCAAATAAAATGCTTGAGCTGCAAGTAAATACACTGTGATATCTGTGACATCTAGAACTGCATTCCATCGCTTTAAAAAATGTCAGAGGCATACTCACAGCACAAAGGCTGTTCTGAGGGAACAGAGCACTTGGTAGTAAGCCAGGGAGGCAGCTATTTGGAGGAGGTGAATAAAAATTAACCTTGTGTTTTCCCTGAAAGGTGGTAGGTTTTGTGTTCTGCTGTTGGAACAAGCAAGCCCAAACCCCAACATCTTTAAAACTGTGTACTTGTCACATGGGACTGACCATGACATCCAGTCAGTCACAATGTGAACAGAATGGTTTGGGTTCTATAGGAAGGATTATTGCCCGCTGGCCATCTTGAAGCAGTGAAAATATATGGAGAAAAAACCAGTATATGCTCGTTTGTATGAGGATGGGTCAACTGTTGAATAAGTAAAGGTGAAGAAAGAAACACTTGTAGAGGAAAAAAAAACCATATATTGTCTATTTCTCCAAAACATTGCCTTGCTGCCAAGTTAATTACGTAACATTTGTCTGAGTTATAAAGTCCAGCTGAGACATAAGGTCCTGTTAGTTTATACAGCCTGAGCACTTATGTACTGCAATTATTGCATATGACCCCCATGACTCATTATTTGCACCTAAGAATAAAGAGATTTATAGTTTTGATCTGAAAGTTTTAAGAGATAAGGGGATTGTCTGTATTTGTTTCAGATTCTATTACCTGTAGAGTCAGGTAAATTCAAATATGAAATTTGGTATGTTTAAGTTTAGTGGCCTTATTTCATTATCCTCAAGATGAAAGGCCTCTTGTAGCACTTTATACTGCAATCAAATTAAGTCCGTTTTTCTTATTTAAAGGATTAAAAAGATTAAACCTTTCAAGTTTGAGCATAAATAATTTTCTTTTAACTGGGATTTCCATACATGCTTTCTGCCAACACTTGTTCCATTTTTAATATGTGCATGAGAATGTGTTCCCAAGAAATGAGTGCAGTGAACCAACTGATCTGGATCTCTCCATTCCCACCACAATTTGCTGTTCCACCAGCACTGACAGTGCTGTGATCCTCACTTCACTGACAACAATGTTAAATTTGGTCTAAATGCCACATGTTTTAGGTGAATTGCCTTGTAAAAACCTGAATAATTAACGTGCTTGTGATTGCACACACAAAGGACAAACCCCGGGTTTGTTTAATAGCTTCCTATAAAACTATTGATTGGCATTAATTATATGGTTCTCCTTTTAGTCATACTTCTTATTATGAAGTGAATTATTACTTTATTAATTAGCCTCCTTTTTACATTTTATCCATTATTAAAAGTGTTGTAACTCTCAATTATTAGTTGTTACTATTTTATATTGGGACACCTACTCTGGAGAAATTTTCAAGTTGTTCCACATGAATTGGAAATGACATCCTAAGGCATCCTAATGACATCCTAAGGCATCCTAATGATATCCTAAGGCATTTTTCTAGACCTTGTGGTTATGTTTTTCCTTATGAAAACCTAAAAATGACTCTTGTGATGTTATCTGGTCTAACATAAGTATATTGGAATTATTTCCTTATCCTCATGCAGTACAAAGTTATCCACATTATTAAATGCAGGTAGGCAATGTTTATTGATCACTTGCAGCTTTTTGTCTCCCTGTAGCAATTTTACTGTCTTCATATTTTCCAAACTATAATTCATCTAGGTGCTGGTGTTTCTTAAAGGGTCTTTGCCCTTGCATAACTATTTTTCTTAGCTGTTTTACCCATGGATTTTCCTCTGATGTTTTTAACTCCCTTCAGATTTTTTTTTTTTTAATTCACAATAATCCATATATGTTGGCTTCTTTTTCTGTTTCCTCTTTTTTTTTTTTTAATGTAATTGTTATTATTCCTATGGGTATGGAAGGGATGTGACTCAAAATTTGGATCTAATCTTAATTTCTGCCTTATGTCGTAGTGGTGTAGCAGCACTCCAGCCATCACTTGGCTGTGTGTGATTCCTCCAGGCTGATCCTCGTTGCCATGGCAGAGTGGGAAGACTTGTATCCTTGGGTAACAGAAGCATTCAGGTTCTTGACTAGTAAGATACTTATTACTGTTGCCACAGTTACTTTTTATAAATTATTTTCCTCATGGTGCCAGAGTCGCTCTTATGATGCAGGAGTAATGGGCTCATTTATTTTCATTGTTTCCTTGCTGGGGATTAAATTTATTCCAGTAACAACAGGTGATATTTTGCTTTCTAAGGCGATGTAAAATTTTCATTGAGAAGTAAAGTGCTGAGTTTAGCTTGTAATTTGGGTAACTTCTTCAGGGGGCAATATATTTTAATTAAGATGGAATCGTGTGGAAGGATCTTTAATCTGCCTGGGAGAGTCACTTTGTACTGTGAGATTCATCTGCCCCTCGTTTGCAATCAGCAGGACTATAGATCTTTAAAAAGTGTCAGGAAGCAATGAGAGGGCAAATTAAATTGTGATTTGTGACCACCTTGGTTTATCATTATTTTAAACTACTGAGCCCTGGATTATTGATGGCAATATTTGCATAGCCTCGTTAAGAGGAGCTGCTGTAGAGTATCAGTTGTTCTCCCCAGTGGTTCTTAAAAATCCAAAGAAACAAAAGCTGTAAAAGAAAATTAATGTCTGTTCAGTTAAGTAAAACAGTAAAATCAGTCTTGAGTCACTGAAAGACAAAGCTGCAACTGTCTCTCCTGATAAAATAACTGTAAAAAGTAGCAGGAAAAATTAATATAATGTTATATAATGTTTCAAGCAAACCTCTAGTGCTAAATAATGCCCATCTGAGAAAAAATAAGTTTGCAGTCCTGGAGATATGCCAAGTGTGAAAGTTCATCTTTGAGATAGAACACGTTTTTTAAAGAAAAAAAATATATATAAAAGTATGAATACGGCCTTTGTAGATGGTGTGATGCAGCAGATTTTTATGTGAACTCTTTAGAATATAAACTTTTATGCACTTCACTTGTAGTTCAGTAGTAGTGAGTACAATGAACTTTATTCATAAAGCAGTTTTTGCTGTAGAGCTGTCGTGACTGCAGGGAGATGTTTGGGATGAGGCAGTTAGAGCCCAGTCATGCAAACTGTGCTTAAATTGATCATTTCAATGATCAGTTGGTGACTCTGGCCTCAGGTGACTGATATTATTTGTGTGTAATTCCCAGGATTGTCTGCTCCGTGAATGAAGAATGAACAAACACACAAGAAACTGAGGAAAAAGGTAGGTTCTACCAGAAAATACTTCTTAAACTGGCTGAGCCCTTGTTGTTCCAGTAGTTCTTGGTAGTCAGAAGAGAATGTAGCATAGAAGTAGGATTGTATCACCAAACTACTGAACTTACTTCATTTTACACTGAGTGCCAACACGGAACTTGCTTTCTTCCACTGGGGCTCTGAGGAGGAAAGGAGCTTGCCTGTTATTTACAGATATGCAGAAACACTTAGAAATTACATTATTTGCAAGGCCTGAGTTTTATTTTGCTGCTGCCTATTGGTGAGTAAAACACTAATGGGAATTCCTGTCCTGTGGCATTTTTATATGAAATTCTGGTTTAGTAACCATACGTGTGTATATGAATATGCAGCTGACACTTTGCACTAGTCCCCTACATATTATTTATGGAGCATCATTAGCATCAAAACAGCATTATGTGAATGTTTCTGTTGCAAATGTGCAACCTGAGGGTTGGATTTGCATAAAGACACATGTAGGAGTGATGGAAAAGAACATAAACTATAGTGGTGTAGGCTTTTATATATTCTTGGAATAGATTACCACAAAAGCCGACCCCTTAGACTTGCCTTCTCGCACTCTGTGAATGTGGATTATCAAGAACAAATGGGACCAGCATTCTCCTAATGTGCATGATGAGATAAGATTTTATTTAGGGCTCAAAATAACATGTTACTCATACAAATCCTTCCTTCTGGGAAGTGTGCTGATTTTTTTCTGTATATACCAGAGGTCACGTCTCTCCTGACTGCATGTTAAGGGATGATACAAGGGTTTTGACAAGGGGTTTCTCCTCTGGGGAGGAAAAAGATGTACAAATGTGCTGGGAGAGGGTTGTTTTGTTCTTTTTGCCTCCCAGTGTGATGGGCTGATACTGAAATTGTTGAATGTTTTCATATGGATCGTGAGTTATTTTTTGAAGTGGCTGACATGTGCATGCTAAGACCTCAATTAAGGGTAATTAAATATGTACTTGAATTCAGTAGCAGTGCTGAACATTTGATGTGGAATTAGGTATTTTGATGGATGCAGGTTTTGCTGAACAAAATTCATTCAGAGTCATGAACTGGTGTATTTATGCAACACTTGATTTTATCATTAGTGTTTTCACTGATGTTTAGGTGTTTTTCAATGACTCAGTGCTACACTTTTAAAGTTGCAGTTTCTATAGAAGTCAGTAGAATTCCTCCCATGTTTAGCATTAAGAGGCTTTTGGCTCAGAGCTAGATGAACATAGGAGGCACTTGCACTGTTTAACTGTGTGTTAGATTCATGTTTCTGAAGGATCAAATGAAGATTTAATTGCAGCTGAAACGTGTTCTGTGAGTCAACTCACCAGAAAGGGAAAGAATTTGTGTTTCTGTGTTGAGTGTCACAACTATGTGTGCACCATATGGCTT